GCAGGTCGTGACAATAACCCTGCAGTTAACTCTGGCATGCGTAATCAAATTTCAGGACCAAACAATTTGCCGATGCAGATGAATCATATGAATTCAGTTAACGAGTATGGTAGGTCGTCCTCGGTGCCAAGACATATTAATAGAACTCCAGTAGCTGTTCAGGCCCTCCCAGTCCAATCTCAGGCATCGGGAGATACTTTGAAAGCCATACTTAGTGATACTGAAAGACAGCAACGTTTTTCTCGATCCCCAATGAATCTGCCTCAGGTCTCAGGTGTGAATTCACCTGCATTTCGGCATCACAATGCAACACAGGTTGGTTTTTTGACTGCATGTATACTATTTTGTACTAAATTATTACACGTTTTTAGGGGCTGCTTTTGAGGAAAACTTGACAACTGAAACACTAGGTCATAACAATGTGCTGATCTTAAATTGTAATTTTTTTGGGTATGGTAGTCAATTCCGGATAGGTAAGGTCAAGAACATGGGTCACAGGGTTAAAAATCATTCGATCATCAGTGCCTTCTAGTAACGTTCAATTCAAACCACCTTAATCATTTTTCTGTCTTCTTTTTCCATGATAGGTGTCAAACCAATATTTCCTCATATATAATTGTTCCATATTGGATCAGTTTTTGAGATTACATATCCATATTAGCGTGCTTGTTAACTCTAAGTTAAGTAATAAGACTCCCCTGTACCAACTACAAGGAAAATCAATTTGTGACGAGATTCTATTCTTACAAGTTACTAGAAGCTCTTCTCCATCTTAGGGCCTGTTTGGACAAGTTTGTAGTACTTTTAGGAACGAGAAAATAAAAAAGAAATGAATTTTCATAAGTTAGAATTAAAATGAACTTATGTACGAGCTAATTTGTAGATGTTCTTTTGTATAGTTTTTAATTTTTACTTAAACTAATTTTAGTGTTTCATTTTTTTTTCATTTTTCTTTTCCTCAGAAATGTTTGTAGAGAAACTTTTCTAAACAAACCTTTAAATAAGTGTACATACATAAACAAACCTCAGGAATAGCCTGTTAAATTTCTTATCCAAGAAAAAGATCAGTGGGAAATAAGAAAATTGGTTCAGGAAAGAATGATATTTATTTATCTTCTTAAAGAAATTATACAGCCGTCAGGGCAGCCTTAGGATATGTGAATGTCCTATTATACTTCATATTGAGTTGTTACTCTTCATTTCTCGTACAGTAAAAATCATTGATGCCTGAATTTAGTTTCTTTAACCATGAAGTTGAAATTCATTCATTAGAAGAAGCTTAATTTTGAGTTACTTGGAGTCCATGGCTCTTGTACTTATCTTTAACTTCTCATTGAAATCAGAGTCGGGTACCATTACAGAACCCGCCAACATCAACTCAATCGCAGAACCCATACAGACCTGGTTCGTTATCTGATTTTAGAAATTCACACCTGCAGCAATCTCTGAATATTCGGCCATCTCGACAGCATTCAAATTTCCGACCATCTACTACCCCATGGTCTCACATCCAGCAAAGTGTTCCACAATCTGGGAATTTACAGGCTGCAGGCATGGCTGCTCCACCGGCTGCCAGACAAGGTATTTCCAATGCTAGGAATGTTTCGCCAGCTGCTACCACTGCTCATGGCCAACAATCTAGGGGTTTGGCCGCTAATCAGCCTCCTAGATGGACACCACTAGTTCCGGTCCAAAATCAAAGCGGTGCTGCAGGCACACCTTTTGTAACTGACAGTTTCCAGGGAAGAGGAAACACAGCACATTCAGTCTCTAGGCCTGATGAATTATTCAGTACGCAACCAGAACAGAATTGGGCTCCCACTGGACGAATGCGTGGAAGTCTAGATTTAAGTCAGCCTTACGACGAATCTATTGCGCAGTGAATAATTACTCCAACACAAACCCAAGGTTCAAGACCACCACCTCCACAACCTCTCCGACGAGCCACTGGGTCGACCCAACAGGATGTGCTTATTGCTAACAATAGAAATGCAAATGCTCACAATCGTCCTTCCACTTGATGACACTTGTGCAACTCTCCACTTTCTCACAGCCTTCATCTCAGCACTGTCTGTCTGTATATAGACTTATCTAGTATAACAGATACAGAGAATTACATTCACAACTTATTCTCAGACATCCATGTTCAAGGTTTTATTTTGTTATATAGAATATTTTCTCACAACTTATTCTCGTACCATTCTTTTTTCGTTATTTCATACCCATCGAAAGTGGGGATTGATTGATGTTTATTCAGTAAATGTTAAAACTGTTGTAAAATTACTAAATATATGCGTAAGAGATTTTTAATTCAATATGTTTTGTTCTTATTTTAAGAATACTGTTTCTTAAGTGTTATGATTCAAGAAAAAAAAAAGTGGAGATCATCGTCTACCCAATTGGGTTTAGGCAAACTGGTGATACTTGATTGTATTTCTTGAAATCGGTCACAAAAGAAGGGAGCTCGCCTACAAAAAATTGGGTATGATTCATATATCATGCCACTGAAGAAAAGAATTAAGATGCACGTAAAATTTGAGAATGATTCATATATTGGATAGATTATTCCTTCCTCGATCTACACTATTGTATAATCTACACTATTTTATAAAAAAGGATTCGTCTTCGTGGTGTCAACATTTTTTTTAATTTTATCTTTCAAGTGTTTTTAAATTTAACCGTTTCTTTTTAAATTTAATCATTTTAAAATTAAATAATAATTTTTTTTAAAATAGATAAAATTATAAAAATTATTTATATTAATTTTTATAAATTATGATGTCAAGAAGAATATTTGTAACATTCCAAAAATACAGTATCAAAACCATATAAGAGAGTCCTCACATATTAATAATATTACATATCAGTCTTACAAACCGAACAACCTTACAAAATAGCATAGGGTTAAAATTGTACAATGGCTAAAACTAATAGAACGAACGGTTTACAAAAGGTAAAATAATAACCGACCGAATGTCTCTAAGGTTCGGTCTTCACTTCAGATGCATCTTCCAATATTTCTTCCAGCAGATCCTCACCTTCTGCTCACATCCACACGGATGATCATTGCAACGGGACAACGGTAGGACGCACGACACAGACAAAAATGGTAAACAGGGTAAGCTTATATAATTTAATTTGTTCCATAACAACAGACAACATTCAATAAATAAACTAACGATAATCAAATCATCATTCATACATTCAAGGCATGCAAATAACGACCACTTGACTTTGACTATCCGGACTGTATGAATCCTGTGTAGCTACGACGTTCGTGCACCCGGGTGTTGTAGTAACTGGGATACTCTCAACAGCTTCCACCCGAGGTTGATCCGTTCCGTCCAAGTTAACCTTATGGACTAGGACCTCCTGCCATTCCCACACATGACTTACTCCTCTCTACATGAGAACGAGTAATCATGGAATATCAGGATGAACGCCCACTAAGCTTTGATCACATTCATACTTTATCAATCAATAACCACTTTTTGAGATATTTCTCCCTGGAATACTCGTTCATAATCAAACTATTTTATCCATATCATATTCTATCATCTTTCATTATTAAAACCTCAACTGAACCAAGTTGAATAAAGATCCCATAGTATATCGAATACCGAACATTAGTTTTTAACCCAGAACAAGACCGAACACTTCGAGTGAGACCGAGATGTCTCCAACTCAAAACATATCAAATCGAGAGAGTTACTCACGGGTTGTGAAAGGGATCGAATACAATGATACTTCCCAGAGAATAATAGAATTGAACGTTATTTACCAAGTGAGCTAATTTAATGAACTGACTCCCGAGAGTTTAAACCGAACACACTGAGCCTAGGCCGAGTACTAAGAATCTAGGCCGAAACCAGTTGAGACAGATACTGTAGGACATCAAATAATAGCACCTGACGGAATCATATGAAGAAACCAAACGCTAATAAACACTTAACTTATTAATGAGTTAATCATCAACGGAAACAAATGCTAGTTGAAAACCGAGCACTGTAGAGAGTGAACGCTATCGAGTTTGGACGAACGCTCTTATTGTAAAGATAGATTACGGAAACAAGAACGAGCGCCTGGTGTAAGACCGAACACTACTTAACTTATATAATAAGGGTGTGACAAATATAATAAGATACAATTTTAACTAGTTATCAAGGAAGAACGAATATACAAATACATATGTATATTTAAGTAATACAGAATACCATTTTAGGTTTATAACAAAATATCAAGGAACGACTACCCTTAATCGAACGATTATTTACAAATATTACAAAACGAAAACGCTCGTTCCTTAACTGGAATTCTTTCCAAATGAAAGAATCCAGTTCCAACCGAGTCCAATAGAATCCGAGAATTATAATTGAACTAGTGCTGACCTAATACCAACCACTTATTAAGGACGAACACTAATAAAAACGAACGCTTGGTCCAAGACCGAATACTCAAGGTTAACTGAATGGTCACTAACCTTCAGTGACAAACATCAATTTACACAGAGAACTACAGACTTAAGATTCTTTATATCAATTCATTCCTCAACATCTATCTTCATACATTCATACATCCATAACATAGTAAGTATCCATACTTCATATTTCATCCAGCAATCAAACAAACATGTCAGCATTCAAAAACGAGAATAAAAATCAAATTATATAAGCTTCCTTACCTCTAAGCGTGACCGAACGCTCACAGTTTGAACATAATAGCTCATAACCAATTTCTTAGAAGACTATGATCACAATTTACGAAACTAACCAAATGAAAGACCAGAAAGGCGTTCAGAAATGGGTTAAGGAACTCGTGTAACCGAAAACTGAGTTTGCATGTACAGAAAAACCACTCGGCTGAGAGAGATGAACTTACCAGTCCAGAATCCAAAACTGATCGGTTCAAACGAACGTCCTCGACGCCGGGAGTGTTCAGACAGTGTCTGAGTGGTGATCAGAAGAAGAAAANTCTATTATCTGATCCGTATACTAGTACTAAAATTTGCTTAAACCTATGTAGAATAATAACTTGTCATGATAAGTTAGAAGAGGAGTGCTAACAACACTTTTTTTTTAACACACTACGAGTGTACCTCTGACTAAAATTTATTGAAAATAGCCGATATGGTGGATCCCATTTCTAATTTAGTGACTGTTTCGATTTGAAAGTGAAGCCTACTAAAATTAGTGATTTCAAATAAATTTCAATAAATTATAGAGTGAGTGTATCCGACATTCCTCTAAAATGAAAAATTTATGATGTGGTTAATTGTTACGAGTCTTTTTGTGTACTGCGGTTTATGTATGTATTTATTTATTTCCCTTTGTGTCTTCCCTTCTTCCTAACATGTTTTTGTTCTGTTGTTACTGTAGTGTTTTGACTTTAACAACTTCATTAGTATCAATTCTAAAAGGCCATCCTGGCGCTGCCCTCATTGCAATCAGTATGTCTGTTATGCTGATATTCGACTTGACCGAAACATGGTTGAGGTTAGTTGATTTACTTCAATCCATCAATTTAGTTATCTATTGTTTATTGGCGCACCTTAAAATTGGGAGTGGAAATTTTAGTTTTGTTTTTAATCTGCAACCTCCACCGCACACTTTCAAATTTTAAGGGTACACCAAATTGACCCTAGGATTAATTGAAGGTTGTAAAGATTTGAAAAATAAACCTCTATTTTTTTTCTTTTTAACCAAAGATCCTGAAAAATGTTGGTGAGAGTATTACGGAAGTGATTGTCCTTGCTGATGGATCTTGGAAGGCAGTCTCGGAAAAAGATCATGATGTGGATAAGATGCAAAAGAAGGCTCCCAACCATGAAAAGGAACAAACTGAACCACAAGAATATACTTGCTCTCCTGCAACTGTTGACCTCACCGAAGATGATGATCATGTGGAGGCAATGGACTCTTCTGAAATTGTAGATAGAAAACCTCTCCTGGCATCTATTCAAAGTCACTTTGTCGCTCCAAATTCAACTTCCTTGGGTATGAACACTCCTGGTATTAATCGAAATGTTGCTGGTCAAATGGATGACTTTTTGTCTGGGGTTTATATTGCCTGTAGTAGGTCTGATACCCCAATGGTTGGTACCTTGGAGCTACCTGTTCTGCCCGACACTATTTCTCCAGCATTTAATCAGGAATCTGCAGGTCGTGACAATAACCCTGCAGTTAACTCTGGCATGCGTAATCAAATTTCAGGACCAAACAATTTGCCGATGCAGATGAATCATATGAATTCAGTTAACGAGTATGGTAGGTCGTCCTCGGTGCCAAGACATATTAATAGAACTCCAGTAGCTGTTCAGGCCCTCCCAGTCCAATCTCAGGCATCGGGAGATACTTTGAAAGCCATACTTAGTGATACTGAAAGACAGCAACGTTTTTCTCGATCCCCAATGAATCTGCCTCAGGTCTCAGGTGTGAATTCACCTGCATTTCGGCATCACAATGCAACACAGGTTGGTTTATTGACTGCATGTATACTATTTTGTACTAAATTATTACACGTTTTTAGGGGCTGCTTTTGAGGAAAACTTGACAACTGAAACACTAGGTCATAACAATGTGCTGATCTTAAATTGTAATTTTTTTGGGTATGGTAGTCAATTCCGGATAGGTAAGGTCAAGAACATGGGTCACAGGGTTAAAAATCATTCGATCATCAGTGCCTTCTAGTAACGTTCAATTCAAACCACCTTAATCATTTTTCTGTCTTCTTTTTCCATGATAGGTGTCAAACCAATATTTCCTCATATATAATTGTTCCATATTGGATCAGTTTTTGAGATTACATATCCATATTAGCGTGCTTGTTAACTCTAAGTTAAGTAATAAGACTCCCCTGTACCAACTACAAGGAAAATCAATTTGTGACGAGATTCTATTCTTACAAGTTACTAGAAGCTCTTCTCCATCTTAGGGCCTGTTTGGACAAGTTTGTAGTACTTTTAGGAACGAGAAAATAAAAAAGAAATGAATTTTCATAAGTTAGAATTAAAATGAACTTATGTACGAGCTAATTTGTAGATGTTCTTTTGTATAGTTTTTAATTTTTACTTAAACTAATTTTAGTGTTTCATTTTTTTTTCATTTTTCTTTTCCTCAGAAATGTTTGTAGAGAAACTTTTCTAAACAAACCTTTAAATAAGTGTACATACATAAACAAACCTCAGGAATAGCCTGTTAAATTTCTTATCCAAGAAAAAGATCAGTGGGAAATAAGAAAATTGGTTCAGGAAAGAATGATATTTATTTATCTTCTTAAAGAAATTATACAGCCGTCAGGGCAGCCTTAGGATATGTGAATGTCCTATTATACTTCATATTGAGTTGTTACTCTTCATTTCTCGTACAGTAAAAATCATTGATGCCTGAATTTAGTTTCTTTAACCATGAAGTTGAAATTCATTCATTAGAAGAAGCTTAATTTTGAGTTACTTGGAGTCCATGGCTCTTGTACTTATCTTTAACTTCTCATTGAAATCAGAGTCGGGTACCATTACAGAACCCGCCAACATCAACTCAATCGCAGAACCCATACAGACCTGGTTCGTTATCTGATTTTAGAAATTCACACCTGCAGCAATCTCTGAATATTCGGCCATCTCGACAGCATTCAAATTTCCGACCATCTACTACCCCATGGTCTCACATCCAGCAAAGTGTTCCACAATCTGGGAATTTACAGGCTGCAGGCATGGCTGCTCCACCGGCTGCCAGACAAGGTATTTCCAATGCTAGGAATGTTTCGCCAGCTGCTACCACTGCTCATGGCCAACAATCTAGGGGTTTGGCCGCTAATCAGCCTCCTAGATGGACACCACTAGTTCCGGTCCAAAATCAAAGCGGTGCTGCAGGCACACCTTTTGTAACTGACAGTTTCCAGGGAAGAGGAAACACAGCACATTCAGTCTCTAGGCCTGATGAATTATTCAGTACGCAACCAGAACAGAATTGGGCTCCCACTGGACGAATGCGTGGAAGTCTAGATTTAAGTCAGCCTTACGACGAATCTATTGCGCAGCGAATAATTACTCCAACACAAACCCAAGGTTCAAGACCACCACCTCCACAACCTCTCCGACGAGCCACTGGGTCGACCCAACAGGATGTGCTTATTGCTAACAATAGAAATGCAAATGCTCACAATCGTCCTTCCACTTGATGACACTTGTGCAACTCTCCACTTTCTCACAGCCTTCATCTCAGCACTGTCTGTCTGTATATAGACTTATCTAGTATAACAGATACAGAGAATTACATTCACAACTTATTCTCAGACATCCATGTTCAAGGTTTTATTTTGTTATATAGAATATTTTCTCACAACTTATTCTCGTACCATTCTTTTTTCGTTATTTCATACCCATCGAAAGTGGGGATTGATTGATGTTTATTCAGTAAATGTTAAAACTGTTGTAAAATTACTAAATATATGCGTAAGAGATTTTTAATTCAATATGTTTTGTTCTTATTTTAAGAATACTGTTTCTTAAGTGTTATGATTCAAGAAAAAAAAAAGTGGAGATCATCGTCTACCCAATTGGGTTTAGGCAAACTGGTGATACTTGATTGTATTTCTTGAAATCGGTCACAAAAGAAGGGAGCTCGCCTACAAAAGATTGGGTATGATTCATATATCATGCCACTGAAGAAAAGAATTAAGATGCACGTAAAATTTGAGAATGATTCATATATTGGATAGATTATTCCTTCCTCGATCTACACTATTGTATAATCTACACTATTTTATAAAAAAGGATTCGTCTTCGTGGTGTCAACATTTTTTTTAATTTTATCTTTCAAGTGTTTTTAAATTTAACCGTTTCTTTTTAAATTTAATCATTTTAAAATTAAATAATAATTTTTTTTAAAATAGATAAAATTATAAAAATTATTTATATTAATTTTTATAAATTATGATGTCAAGAAGAATATTTGTAACATTCCAAAAATACAGTATCAAAACCATATAAGAGAGTCCTCACATATTAATAATATTACATATCAGTCTTACAAGCCGAATAGCCTTACAAAATAGCATAGGGTTAAAATTGTACAATGGCTAAAACTAATAGAACGAACGGTTTACAAAAGGTAAAATAATAACCGACCGAATGTCTCTAAGGTTCGGTCTTCACTTCAGATGCATCTTCCAATATTTCTTCCAGCAGATCTTCACCTTCTGCTCACATCCACACGAATGATCATTGCAACGGGACAACGGTAGGACGCACGACACAGACAAAAATGGTAAACAGGGTAAGCTTATATAATTTAATTTGTTCCATAACAACAGACAACATTCAATAAATAAACTAACGACAATCAAATCATCATTCATACATTCAAGGCATGCAAATAACGACCACTTGACTCTGACTATCCGGACTGTATGAATCCTGTGTAGCTACGACGTTCGTGCACCCGGGTGTTGTAGTAACTGGGATACTCTCAACAGCTGCCACCCAAGGTTGATCCGTTCCGTCCAAGTTAACCTTATGGACTAGGACCTCCTGCCATTCCCACACATGACTTACTCCTCTCTACATGAGAACGAGTAATCATGGAATATCAGGATGAACGCCCACTAAGCTTTGATCACATTCATACTTTATCAATCAATAACCACTTTTTGAGATATTTCTCCCTGGAATACTCGTTCATAATCAAACTATTTTATCCATATCATATTCTATCATCTTTCATTATTAAAACCTCAACTGAACCAAGTTGAATAAAGATCCCATAGTATACCGAATACCGAACATTAGTTTTTAACCCAGAACAAGACCGAACACTTGGAGTGAGACCGAGATGTCTCCAACTCAAAACATATCAAATCGAGAGAGTTACTCACGGGTTGTGAAAGGGATCGAATACAATGATACTTCCCAGAGAATAATAGAATTGAACGTTATTTACCAAGTGAGCTAATTTAATGAACTGACTCCCGAGAGTTTAAACCGAACACACTGAGCCTAGGCCGAGTACTAAGAATCTAGGCCGAAACCAATTGAGACAGATACTGTAGGACATCAAATAATAGCACCTGACGGAATCATATGAAGAAACCAAACGCTAATAAACACTTAACTTATTAATGAGTTAATCATCAACGGAAACAAATGCTAGTTGAAAACCGAGCACTGTAGAGAGTGAACGCTATCGAGTTTGGACGAACGCTCTTATTGTAAAGATAGATTACGGAAACAAGAACGAGCGCCTGGTGTAAGACCGAACACTACTTAACTTATATAATAAGGGTGTGACAAATATAATAAGATACAATTTTAACTAGTTATCAAGGAAGAACGAATATACAAATACATATGTATATTTAAGTAATACAGAATACCATTTTAGGTTTATAACAAAATATCAAGGAACGACTACCCTTAATCGAACGATTATTTACAAATATTACAAAACGAAAACGCTCGTTCCTTAACTGGAATTCTTTCCAAATGAAAGAATCCAGTTCCAACCGAGTCCAATAGAATCCGAGAATTATAATTGAACTAGTGCTGACCTAATACCAACCACTTATTAAGGACGAACACTAATAAAAACGAACGCTTGGTCCAAGACCGAATACTCAAGGTTAACTGAATGGTCACTAACCTTCAGTGACAAACATCAATTTACACAGAGAACTACAGACTTAAGATTCTTTATATCAATTCATTCCTCAACATCTATCTTCATACATTCATACATCCATAACATAGTAAGTATCCATACTTCATATTTCATCCAGCAATCAAACAAACATGTCAGCATTCAAAAACGAGAATAAAAATCAAATTATATAAGCTTCCTTACCTCTAAGCGTGACCGAACGCTCACAGTTTGAACATAATAGCTCATAACCAATTTCTTAGAAGACTATGATCACAATTTACGAAACTAACCAAATGAAAGACCAGAAAGGCGTTCAGAAATGGGTTAAGGAACTCGTGTAACCGAAAACTGAGTTTGCATGTACAGAAAAACCACTCGGCTGAGAGAGATGAACTTACCAGTCCAGAATCCAAAACTGATCGGTTCAAACGAACGTCCTCGACGCCGGGAGTGTTCAGACAGTGTCTGAGTGGTGATCAGAAGAAGAAAAGATTAAGATTTCTTGGAGAGAAGTAGGAGTTTTTAGAGAGAATGAGGAGAAAATGAAAGTGACGAGCATTTTTGAAAACTTTGAATTTTGCTTATACAATCAAAACTCCAATCTGCATCACACACCTGTCTTTTTTACTATATGATTTTCGGATTCCCTTCCTCGACACATTTAATAGGTCTGACAGTATTCGTTTTCTCTAATATTGATAAAAAATACAATACAATTCATATCTAAAATAGTTTCAAATTGACTAAATTTGAATAAATTTATAAATAATAACTACTAGTACATTGACTGAATCACTTGAAAGGGAGAACCAAATATAATTAATTATTTTTCTTTATATTTATGACTTTTGTACTCTGTATTAAGTTATATTTATAAAATAAAAAGGCATCCTCAAACAGGTAGTTTCTTGATCTATCCAACTCATGCAGTACATTATCACCTTTTTTCCGGTTTATGAGATTCGATAACTGCCCAAATTCTAATGTTGTGTTGCATTCATATACGATTATTTTGATTCGATGTTCAGTTTGAATCATTTGAGGGAACCTAATGCAATCTTCCATTTTTACAGATTTGACTAGCAAAAAACTTACCTTTAGGTAAGGAAAACTGAGGAGACTCAGTTCCCACATGGCACAGGTTATATACAAAAGCTAAAGACTACGTTTTGCCTCCTACTTCTCTGAACCAAGGATGACGACTTTTATCTTATGACGAAGCTCGGACAAGATTACTGCTCATAATCATCCCACATTCAAACTTATTTTCCAATATTTAAATTCATAAGAAAATAAAAACTTGGAATCCGACATTATATGAACACATACCAAGAAAATTAAATCCACTCCTACAGCAAAAAGCAAATTAAGTTGTTCACACAGAAAAATAACGTCCCTTACACAAATAAAACAGCATTAACAATGATTACATTCCCACAAGCATCAGCTTTAAATATGGATATTTTAGTACCCAATTAATACTCCCATTTTTTCAGCTCCAAGCCATCTGGAGGACTGCCTTCCACCTTCTTTGATCCCACTTCTTTCCAATCAGTTGATAGCACTGTTCCATTTGACTCCACCTACAGAAAGAAAGCAGTTCAAAAAAAGGGAGTAAATGTTAATGATTTAAGATAAAACTAGCCGCAATCGGGGGAAATAAAACACGTCAATATCAAAGCATGCACAGAATGGATATCTTACGAAAGACTTGCTCATTGCTCTCCTCATGTCCTCATCTGCATTTTGGTAAATATCACGGAACAATTTATTCAAACCAGCATCACCATCAAGCTTTTCTTCTTTCTCCTGAAAGGCAGGCCACAATTTTGTCAATATCGTTGCAACAGAGTCTCGTATCTTACAAGATGAGGTACAGATTCTGTTTGATCTAGATTTGCAGCCTTCTAATTTTTTATTATTCGAATACGAAGTAGGTTTAATTCAGGTCTTCCAGCTAAACAAAAAATCTGAATTTGGTCATGTACAATTTAAAATCTGAAGTTTTCACATTAAACTCTAAACTCATCCATCAGCATGTCAATGATTTGGATTCTCATTGCTGGTAAGGAATTGAAACACACGATTCCAATGTCTTCAAGGTAATCCACATCAGTAAAACTACCATCAAATCAACTAAGATGGTGCCACAATTAGTCATTCTGTCAAACATAAAACTATATTTTGTCGATGTACAGCCAAACAATCACACAAAGAAAGCTAATTGCTTATCCTAAGTCATGGGCAACTAGTAAAAATTGAAATTGAAATTATATGGAGCCGCTAAAAATTAAGCCTAAATTATCCCGAAGGGAGAAAGGGATAGCTTCCAAACCTCTTTTTTCACTAGAGCTTCCAACTTATCCCAATCTTTTGTCTTTGCTTTTGATGATGGATATGAAGGCCTTTGAGATTGAACTGCATGCATTAACAGTGGGAGTAAGCTCACCATCAGGAAAGTAGTTGCCTCAAGTTACATTCTCAAGTATTCAATTAACAATTAGAAGGACACAAAGGTATCACAAAAGGATAAAATAAATAAATAGTCATCTCACCTATAGGCATGCTTATTTTAGTGGGTAGTGTATCCTTGCTATATTCCAGAGATGTCCAATTAATAGCTTCAGCTTTTGCAAGACGAATTTCAATTTTGGTTGACAATACCACAACTTTGCAGTTGTTGGGTATTATCTGATTTGCTCAAGCAAAAGGAAAAGGTACGGAATGAATAATGAACTTGAATATTTATTTGCTATTATTTGCCCAAGCAATACATGGCTTATTTTAAAATTAGAAAAACAAAATCAAGTAGCTGTCCCCTGATAAACAAACACTGATATTAAACTAGCACCAGCCCACATCCCCAAGACTTTCATCCTCAATTATAAAGTAATATTCAAATATACATAAAATAATTCAACAAAAGAAAGAAATAGAATGCCTTGCTAGTAAAAAACAGAAAAATATATGGAATAAAATCATTATTGAACCAAGTTTCATAATTGAGTATTTGCAACACTAGAAATGGCAGATGGCCAAAATTCAACCAAATAAACATGTCATTGTGGCATACGGCACCACCATATCGGGCTGCTGTACATAAATTGCCTATGGTGGAAGCCCGTGGGGTCAAAGAAGCCACATTATAGCTGTATGGTGACTGCTATAATGATTATTTAGCCATAGTTCGAAATAAAAAAAAATTCATAATTTCATCAGTGAATACATTTATGTACCAAGTTTATTTAGAATAATATTAATTTAAGAGATTAATTAATTTTAAAAAGGTTAAGGACTTCTACACCAATTCATTCCAAATGAATCCATTTAAATTCTATAATTGAAGTATTCCAAAACAAATCTAGAAAAAAACAAGAGGAATATTATCAGAGACCCCTCAGATCCCACCAAACAAAAAATAAATAGTCATCCTGAGTCTATTTAATGGTGAAATAAGAACAAAACCTCAAGGTAGATAAAACAGGATCTTTTTGTTATGGCACTGTCAGAAAATTGTATATATTTTATGTGATATCCAAAAAGATAGAAAATCATCAAGTATAGACAAGTAAACTATTAATATAAATCAGTTACCTTCCCAAACAATCGAGGTTGGAAACGATAGGCATCTTGGCCAGGAACATCAATAGTTACACTAAGCTGTAATGTTCAAGTACTTCAAGTTATCTGAAGAGTTATATATGAAACACATGAAGAAATAAAGCTGCGGTACAGGGGAAATACTAAGCACCCATTATATAAACCTACAATCTGTTCACCGAAGTCAACAACCAAATCTTTCGTTGATATTCCTTTTGCAAATATTGTCACAACCACTTCTTCTGGCTTTTGGTAGAATTCATGTCTGGTTAAGCATAATCAACACGTTATCCGTAAGTTGAGAAACAAATTTCAGCATAAAATGAAATATCCATAGATACAACAAGAGAGACACAATGCCAAAAGAACAAATTATTGGAAGTTTATAGAATTGTAGCATGACGTATTAACATTCCCCATACTTCTAGACCCTAGTGCACGCTTGATAAGCACTTTTTTAGACAAAATAATCATTAAAGAAACACCATCCCAGGAGGCTTTTGATTAAATATTTTTTTATGATATACATACTAAGGTTAAATGAACCTAGTAATAATAAGATTAAAAAACCATAAAATACCATATAAAATGTTCTTGATTCTTATATCTGGTAGAATTAATACTCATGATGGTGGTTATAGTTTTTGTACAGAATTTAATAATGTAAATAATAACAGCATGGAGGATAGAAAAATAAAACAGCGAGAACCTGTATTTTGGTCTGTTTATTGTGACTTCCTTGATTTGGGATACCAAACTGTCTTCCTCAACTTCTTTAGTCACCCTGTCATTTGTATTGTTCAAGTGGGAACCATTTGACGATATGGTGCTTACAAAATCATTTGGTTCCTCTGATAAATGAAGAGATATAATACATCAAATGAAGAGAAGCACAATTTCTCAATCACAAAAAATGTTATATTAGTACCACTCACTCATTATACCATTATACAATACAATACAAATGTGAATTTCCCACATCACACTATCTACTATCTATAAATCTAATAAAAAGATCACACTCATTGGATAAAAAGGTTAATTACTACTAAAGTTAAACCAATTCATCCAATGTCAATAATCAGTCACTGTATATCGGCACACACAGTTCAAACCTAAAAAAAGGTTAAGTGTAATGTGTGGTCACCTGAAATAAAGCGGTCACATTCTTGAATCAACTTGGAGAATCTTAAATCGTCTGGCGCAAAAGCGGCACCGCTTTGAAGTGCCAACTTGGCAGTGTGATATTCTTCTAGCTTTATACAAGCAGTCCTGTAAAAACAAATACCAACAGCAACTAAGAAGCATAGAAACATAGATACGCTGATTCGATGTTAAAATTATGAGAACATTTGAATTTGCATCTAAATTACTGAAAGAGAAAAAGAGCAAACCCTTTACGAAGATAGGCCTTGGACAAGGAAGGGTTTAATAAAATGGCGTTGTTGGCATCGGAAATTGCTTCTGGCGGTGGAAACAAATACGTTTGAGTAAGAAAGAGAGCGAGAGAGTGAAATTAATGAAGGGAATAGAGAGAGTGAAGGTATGAACCAGTGAAAGCGTTGAGCTTAATATGGGCTTGTGCTCTGTCAGCGAAGAGATGAGCGTCCTTATGATCTAGTTTTATGGCTTCGGAGTAGAAATCGACGGCGAGAGCGAAGTCGTCGTCGAAGAATGCTTCCTTCGCTTTCCTCTCAAGTTCTTTCGCCATTTCGATTTGGAGTGAGCTCGTTGACGAGCGATTCCACAGTAATATTTATTTCTAAGTAGGGATTTTTCTTCTAGACCCTTCTTTTCATTCATTCCTTACTTTACTTCTCCCTCCCTCTATGGTATTTACTTTACTTCCACCCAAACCAAAAACAACCTTTTCAAATTCTCTTTTTTTTTT